AGTTTCTGTCTGTCACTGTGCATATATACTGTGGTTTGTCTCGGTGTGTACTGTGGAACAGTCCTGTCTGCTGGGATATTTGGTCCTTGGTTCGTCTACTCTGTGGTGCATCAGGGAGGGATTCAGGGTTTCTAGTTTTTGGAGGGAATCTGCAGGCAGGGATATGCTCGTTTTCAGAGCAGAAGCAATTATCAAGATCACGGGAATGCTATTCCCAATCTGATACTCCCTCCTGATAATCTCATAATAAGTTCACTTTTAGCTTTTCCATTTGTTATAAGTTCATTTTTAGAGCAATATTATATCGGAGTTTATGAACGTTGGGAATATAATTGTATTGAAATATAATTGTATCGAGAGTAGTTAAATTGAAGAATAGTTACATTAGCATTTGATAAAGTAGGGGTATAGTCTTTTTAGTTTTGTATTATATATTAGTATTAGTATGTGTGGGATGGATGAAAAATGAATGGGAGTGCCTAGCAATCATTCGAATGATTTTTTCATTCATCTCACTCGGATTTTTCAACATATGGATGTGCGCCACGTTGCAGAGGGAAACAGGCTAGCTTAATAGTAAGTTCGTAACAACAGACCCAATATGACAGTTATAAGTCCAAAGATGTTTAATAAAAAAAAATAAAAATGTCATCAACATATGCATCAGCAAGCGTCAAGCGAATACATATAATCTTTCCCAAAAAAATGTTTTTGGTTTCCTAAACTGAAAATATGAAGCAAAGTAACTGAACGTATAATCTTTCCCAAAAATTTGTTTTGGTTTTCTAAACTGAAAATATGAAGCAAAATAACTTATTAAAAGCCTAAATTTTATCCTCAAAAATTAAAAGTGGACCATTATGTTAAACTACCAACATGATTTCCGTTTTCCTCCGTCAGCGCACTACCTCCTAGCACTCCCCCTAAGGGCATCTACAATCACTAACTGAGGGTACTCTAGGTGTACTCACATCTACAATGCAGGCCATGTCTGGTAGCCCAATGAGTGTCCCAACCCAAAATAGCCCATTTCTCTCATCCTCCTCTCTTTCCTATTCTACCCCTCTCTTCCCTCTCTCTCTCTCCCTCCGCACGACCGCATGCGCATTCCTCTCTCCCTCCACCCGTTGTTCCACTCACAGCCTGCTTCCCTCTCTCCCGCCGCTGCTCCCGCCGCCGCCTGCCACCTCCGCTCGTCTCCCTCTCCCTTTCTCTCTCTCTCTCTCTCTCACTACCACCACCGTCTCCCGCCGCCGCCCCCGAATCGAGCTCATGGGACGGAGGCGGCAGTCATCATCGTCATCGTCTGGTAGCTGGAGCAGCAGATCCGGGGCGGAGGCGACCGACGGCGAGCGGCGCACGGGGCGGAGGTGGCAGTCGTCATCGTCCGGTGGCCGGAGGCGGCAGATCTGGCCGCTCTCTCCCTCTCTCTCTCTCCCGTGGAAGGTGGCGGCGGCGACCCCGGAGGCGGCAGATCCGGCGCCGCCGTGGCCGGATCTGGCCCCCCGGCGGATGGAGTGGCGCCGGCCGCGCCGCATCGAGACGGTGGTGGTGCCGGTGGTGGCCGCATCGACGATGGCACCGTCATTCTTCACCGCACTCGCCGACGCCGCCCCCTCCTCACCCTCCCTTCTTCTCTCTGACAGCGAGCAGCCGCATCGAGCAGACGGTGGTGGCATCAGCGGTGGCTGCATCGATGATGGCGCCGTCGCCTTCTTCACCGCGCTCGCCACCTCGCTCCTCGCCCTCCCTTCTTCTCTCCGGCGGCAAGCGGCACCTTCGCCTCGCCCTTGACGCGCGGGCCGGTGACATAGGGGAGAAGGGTGGAAGAGGAAATCAAAGCTCTGGGGTGCGTCGCCTCAAGAACCTACCTACGCAATGGGTTTCTTCGCCCCGTCCCCCTGGAAAAAGCGAGCGAGCGACGCGTCCCCCAGCTAGGGCGCGCGTTTCATCCCAGGGGACGACGCAGACGAAAAGCCTAATGGACAGCGCTAGGGAGACGGACCGAAGCACTACATTGGTGATTGCCTAAAGCCGCGCCGATCTCCCACGTGCGGGAAAAGCGCTCCCCCCTAAAGCCATGCCGTTCGCCCACACGTGGGAAGGAGAGGAGGAAGTACAAGGTGGGAGCGACGATATTGGGAGTGGGCAAGGGCGCCGTTTTCTCTGACATATCAACATAACTCCAAAAATCATGTAGGGGAGTAGGGGATCTGTTGGAGTGCTTTTTTTTTCACTAAAATACCTGAAAATTGGTTTTGGAGATGAAATAGGAGGACCATTAGTGATGCTGTAAGAACTTTAAAAAAATTACGATGGTCAAGGAAAATATAGTTTATCTTAAATATAGTTTATCTTATGGCAATAAAATATTTAAATTAAGTTGAGTTGTCTCTACGTATAGCTTAAAATGATACTCCCTCCATTCTTAAATATTTGACGTCGTTGACTTTTTTAAACATGTTTGACCGTTCATCTTATTCAAAAAAACTTATGTGAATATTATTCAAAAACTTGAGTAGTAGTAGTATAATATTTAACAATGAATCAAATGATAGGAAAAGAATTAGTAATTACTTAATTCTTTTGATAAGACGAACGGTCAAACATGTTTAAAAAAGTCAACTGCGTCAAATATCTAGAGACGGAATGTGTACATAGGAATAGTATTTTTGCATATCCCACCAAAATAAAATGACCAAATGACCCAATTTGTCGGGGGTACCTTTAGCGCATGTTGCTAGATTGTGCAAATTTATCCCCTTTTTTTCAAATAATGAAATAATGGATTAATTCGTACGCTCCCTGAATTTATAAACAGTGTTTAAAAAACTTTCTATACATTAATTTCTAAGAATATTGTTTTAAATCTATTTTCTATCTTCATAACGTTTAATTCATTTATATCCTCAAATAATTATAATAAATCATTCGACTATTCGGTCATTCAGCATAAAAGAATAGAGCCGTGGACATGCGAACCCACATGCTGACATGCATGAACAATAATCTTTCATCAATTTGTGTTATTTGCGAAATCAATTAAATTTTATCCATAAGATGACTAGTGGCAGCTGTAGATACGTGGTATGGTCTACTCTCTTGCAGATTGCGAATAGTTTATCATTAGGTATTAAGCTTAATAAAGGGCTGTTTAGATTATAGCCAAAATAAAGTTTACCAAATTTTGTCATTACCAAAAGTTTGATAATATTACTAAGTTTTGGCAGGATTTCTTACGTGTTTACCAAAGTTTGGTAAAAAAAATAAATAGTTGCATATTTTTGGTAACTTTATTACAAATTGATATAGTTAATCTGAACAACCTCTAAGTCAATGCTTGCTTCACGTGTTTTACCTGCAAGTTCACACACACACACAAAATGCATATTTGTATCTCAAGTTCAGTAGGCATGCAAGTCAAAACTGAATCCCTCCATGGTTTAAACTTTAAAATGGCATTTATAATTTTACTGCTGTAGGTTGGCATTTGTTATTTGCAATCGCTTTCATACGGTCAGAGATGCTTGTCATATTCTACCCTTTGGCCTCCATCTGTTTCTCGTTTTGCTTTCGTTACGGATAATATGGGAATATTTTAGAGGACAAAGTGGCCATCCGGTGAGCCAAGTTTCATAATTGTTTAACCCGTTTTATGGTGTGGAGTGTACCCTTAGCATTGCGACATGAATGGCTGAAAAATCATAGTTAGATTTTTCTAAAATGCAGTTTAGTCATATTTTAAGCAAACAGCCAACAGAAAAGACATGTGAAAATGGAAATTTTAATATCCACTCTTCGAAAAATAACATGTAAATAGCATGGGGGTTGAGCTGTCAACAGCAGAGAGAGCACTCCCCTGTTACACCCATAAAAAATTCTATGAAAAAAAGTAAATATTATTGTTACATCCGTCCCATAATAATTATAACTGTAAGATTCAAATTAATTCTAAAATAGTTATTACAATAGAGTAGTAATTATCCCATCAATCACTCTCATTCAAAATTTTCACTATTTTACCATCATTCATCCTCCCAGTCCTACCTATATATATTATTAAACCTTAATATATATTAAACAACCTAGAATTAAAATTATTTTGGGATGGAGATAATATTATACGCGTGTAAAACCTCAAATTTAAATTTAACAATTTTAAGAGTATAAATCTATCATAATTTTATCTTTTTTCTTTCTATTACGATAAATTTCAAGATGAGACTTAGATGCATGTTACTTGTAAAAACAAATATAATTTTTATTGATATCTGTTAATTGGTGTAAAGTTTGTGCATTCATGATACATTCCAATTTTGTAAAAGCTTACTATTTTACTCATGAACTTTAAGCAGCATATATGAAGGGTGTGTTTAGTTCACGTTAAAATTAGAAGTTTGGTTGAAATTGGAACAATGTGACAGAAAAGTTAAAAGTTTGTGTGTTTAGGAAAGTTTTGATGTGATAAAAAAGTTGGAAGTTTGTTGAAAAAAGTTTGGAACTAAACTCAGCCGAATTTTAGGGAACATTTGGTTTGGTATGAACTTTGGAATTCATGATCCGACCCGTTTGTTGCCAATTCAGGTGACCAAATTTCAGTACGCCAACCATTTGCAGTTGTTTTTGACGAACCTAACTTCAAACAAATGCAATTTGGAGCAACAATACTATTATTATAGCCACTATCAGAGCAAAAACAACTACTACCTTAGATGAGGAATTAATAAATAATCCAAACTGGTCCCCTACTGCTAGGTTGCTGATTAAGATGAGTGATTAAGCATCAATTAAATCAAGACGACTAGCTCCCCACTCACTGCCAGGTGGGCCCACCTTGTCGGATTAGAGGAAAGTCCCTCACTGCCATACACAACCATTGCCGGATTAGCTGTCCATCGATTACAAAAATCCCAAATCTTTTGGCGCCGCCGTCGCTGTCGCCGACGACACCACCGCCGCCGCCGTCCTCGTCATCTCCAGATCGCCCTCTCCTTGATCCCCACTTGCATCGCCCCGGAGGCGCGGTGGACGAGACGACGGCGATGGCCGGAAAGGATGAGGCGGAAGGGCTCGAGGCGAGGCTGCTGCTGCTGCCGCCTGAGGCGGCGGCGGAGGAGCCGACGAGGTGTGGCGGCGGCGACGGCGGCGGCGGCGGGAGGAAGCGGAAGAAGACGTACCTTGATGTCCTTGGCGTGTGCTGCTCCGCGGAGGTCGCGCTGGTGGAGCGGCTGCTCGCGCCGCTCGACGGCGTCCGCGTGGTGTCCGTCGTCGTGGCGTCCCGCACCGTCGTCGTCGAGCACGACCCCGCCGCCGCCCCGGAGTCCGCCATCGGTAAGCCACCGCGCGCGCGCGCGCCATTAATCCTCCACGCGATTCTCGCGCGAGATTCTCACTGAATCGAGTCGTCGTCGTCGTCTTTGTCTTGGAGTGCAGTGAAGGCGCTGAACAAGGCCGGCCTCGAGGCGTCGGTGCGAGCCTACGGCAGCAGCGGCGTGGTCAGCCGGTGGCCGAGCCCGTACATCGTCGCCTCCGGCGTCCTCCTCACGGCGTCCTTCTTCGAGTGGCTCTTCCCTCCCCTGCAGTGCCTGGCCGTGGCGGCCGTCGTCGCCGGCGCGCCGCCGATGGTGCGCCGTGGGTTCGCCGCGGCGAGCCGGCTGTCGCTCGACATCAACGTCCTCATGCTCATCGCCGTCGCCGGCGCGCTCTGCCTCGGCGACTACACGGAGGCCGGCGCCATCGTCTTCCTCTTCACCACCGCAGAATGGCTCGAGACGCTGGCCTGCACAAAGGTAGGAGTACATGTCAATGTCCTCTTCACCAAATCCATGGCGATCTTGGCACGAACCCGGACGAACACTCACGTTGCGAGGTGTGCAGGCGAGCGCCGGGATGTCGTCGTTGATGGGCATGCTGCCGGTGAAGGCGGTCATCGCGACGACGGGCGAGGTTGTCAGCGTGCGCGACGTCCGCGTGGGCGACGTCGTCGCGGTCAGGGCCGGCGAGATCGTCCCCGTCGACGGCGTGGTGGTCGACGGCCAGAGCGAGGTCGACGAGAGGAGCCTCACCGGCGAGTCCTTCCCGGTGCCGAAGCAGCCGCACTCCGAGGTCTGGGCCGGCACAATGAACTTTGACGGTAAACAAACAAACAATCAAAAAAATCTCTCATCTCTTAGTTTCAGAGTTCCCAAATGTACGGAACTCTGAAACGTCCGTGTCGTTGAATTGTCCGTCTTTTCTCATCAGCTTAAGTTCTGGTAAACTGATTGACGCATCCAACTCAATAGTCACAATAGCACACATTTGTTCATGTCATGATCAATGGGATTGAGAGGCTGTCACGTTTCAGGTTACATTGCTGTGAGAACTACGGCTCTCGCCGAGAACTCGACGGTGGCGAAGATGGAGAGGCTGGTGGAGGCGGCGCAGAACAGCAGGTCGAAGACGCAGCGGCTGATCGATTCGTGCGCAAAGTACTACACGCCGGGTGCGCAATCGGCATCGCCTAAACTCTCAACATCTCCAATTTTACAACACAAAATTCATCAGTAACAAAGACATTTCTGTTCTTGGTGCGTTGCAGCCGTGGTGGTTGTTGCAGCAGGAGTGGCCCTGATCCCGGCTCTGCTCGGAGCAGATGGCCTTGAGCAATGGTGGAAGCTGGCTCTGGTGATGCTTGTGAGCGCGTGCCCCTGCGCATTAGTGCTGTCGACACCGGTGGCATCCTTCTGCGCAATGCTGCGCGCTGCGAGGATGGGGATCTTCATCAAGGGTGGAGATGTTCTTGAATCACTTGGGGAGATCAGGGCCGTCGCGTTCGACAAGACCGGGACGATCACCAGAGGAGAGTTCAGCATCGACTCGTTCCATCTGGTTGGGGATCACAAGGTTGAGATGGATCATCTTCTTTACTGGTAAGACTGAGAAAGAAGATTTCATTTCAGCTCTTGGAATGCAGCTGCTACACTGAACAAATTTGACAGATTTTCAACTGTTGTCGGTTTACGACTTGTCGAAAAATCCTTAGTACTTGTGATGGTTTGAATTGACTTGAACAGTGAAATGCTTGGCACAAATTATGTCTTTGGTTATTGCAGGATTGCAAGCATTGAGAGCAAGTCAAGCCACCCAATGGCAGCTGCACTTGTGGAGTATGCTCAATCCAAATCCATCCAACCAAACCCGGAAAATGTGGGCGATTTTCGGATATATCCCGGGGAGGGGATCTATGGAGAGATCCATGGAAAGCACATCTACATTGGGAACAGAAGGACATTGGCAAGAGCGTCATCACCTCAGTCAAGTGAGCAAAACACATCATTTGTAGTAGTAGTACAGTTCCTGACAATTAAGCTTCAGAATTAGCTGATCAGCTGAAGCTGAGCTGACTGAACTGAAATCTGTGACGTTTACAGCTCAAGAAATGGGTGAGATGATCAAGGGCGTGTCGATCGGCTACGTGATCTGCGACGGCGAGCTCGCCGGCGTCTTCTCGCTCTCCGACGACTGCCGGACCGGCGCGGCGGAGGCGATCCGGGAGCTTGGATCGCTGGGCATCAAGTCGGTTATGCTGACCGGGGACAGCAGCGCGGCGGCGACGCACGCGCAGGGCCAGCTCGGCGGCGTCATGGAGGAGCTCCACTCCGAGCTCCTCCCGGAGGACAAGGTCCGGCTCGTCAGCGGCCTCAAGGCGAGGTTCGGCCCGACGATGATGGTCGGGGACGGGATGAACGACGCGGCGGCGCTGGCGGCGGCGGACGTGGGCGTGTCCATGGGCATCTCCGGGTCGGCGGCGGCGATGGAGACCAGCCACGCGACGCTCATGTCGAGCGACGTGCTCAGGGTCCCCGAGGCCGTCAGGCTCGGCCGGTGCGCCCGCCGGACCATCGCCGTCAACGTGGCCGGCTCGGTGGCCGTGAAGGCCGCCGTGCTCGCGCTGGCCGCGGCGTGGCGCCCCGTGCTCTGGGCCGCCGTGCTCGCCGACGTCGGGACGTGCCTCCTCGTCGTGCTCAACAGCATGACGCTGCTCAGGGAGGAGTGGAAGGGCGGCGCCAAGGAGGACGGCGCGTGCCGCGCCACGGCGAGGTCGCTGGTGATGAGGTCCCAGCTCGCCGCCGACTCCCAAGCACCCAACGCCGCAGACGCTGGCGCCGCCGGCCGTGAGCAAACGAACGGCTGCCGTTGCTGTCCGAAGCCGGGCATGTCGCCCGAGCACTCGGTTGTCATCGACATCCGAGCCGACGGCGAGCGTCAAGAAGAGCGGCCGGCCGAGGCGGCCGTCGTTGCCAAATGTTGCGGCGGAGGCGGCGGCGAGGGCATCCGCTGCGGAGCCTCCAAGAAGCCAACTGCAACGGTCGTTGTTGCCAAATGTTGCGGGGGCGGCGGCGGCGGCGAGGGCACCAGGTGCGGCGCGTCCAAGAATCCGGCAACGGCGGCCGTCGTTGCCAAATGTTGCAGCGGAGGCGGCGGCGAGGGCATCGGCTGCGGAGCCTCCAAGAAGCCAACTGCAACGGCCGTTGTTGCCAAATGTTGCGGCGGCGGCGGCGAGGGCACCAGGTGCGCCGCGTCCAAGAAGCCGGCAACGGCGGCCGTCGTTGCCAAATGTTGCGGTGGCGATGGCGGCGAGGGCACCGGATGTGGTGCCTCCAAGAGGTCGCCGCCGGCTGAGGGAAGCTGCAGCGGCGGTGAAGGCGGTACCAATGGTGTTGGTCGTTGCTGCACGAGCGTGAAGAGGCCAACCTGTTGCGACATGGGAGCGGCGGAGGTGTCCGATTCTTCGCCGGAGACGGCGAAAGACTGCAGAAATGGGAGGTGTTGCGCGAAGACGATGAACTCCGGTGAAGTGAAAGGATGATGTTGCAAGATTGACCAGTAATTCACTCTACGAAATGTTAAGTTTTAACTGATCATTATTGTGTCATTTTCCTTGGGCTGAAATCATCTTGTAATGCATCAATGATTGTTGTACAGTACTAGTATCATTGAAAACTGCCAAATAACATGTAACATTCGAAATCCTTTTTTTCAATGTTGATACGTAGTTCACGATTGCATACCAACCCTCGTACATGTACATCGCACTCAATAGCCACAAGCGTGTCCCATTTGAGATAGATTATTGACAGAATTATTGGTTTGGAGTATCTAATTTACTAGATGATGTCCCGCGTCTTGCTACGGGATATATGTTAGATATCTATTATCTATCTATTCTATTCTATTCTATTATATACTAAAAGTCCATTAAACTTCCTACAAACGCTCCTAAGCCACCACGTGGCACTCCTACAAACGCTCCTAAGTCGCCACGTGGCACAATCTAATCTCACCGTCGATTTTTACTAAAGTTGGTGGACCCATTATTTTACACCATTAGATTAGATCTATTATTGACAAATACTTCCTCCATTTTTTATTAGATGACGCCGTTGACTTTTTCTCACATGTTTGACCATTCGTCTTATTAAAAAATTTTATGCAAATGCATAAGATATAAATTACACTTAAAGTAATATGAGTGATAAAACAACTCATAACAAAATATATTATAATTACGTAAATTTTTTTAATAAGACAAATGGTCAAGCATATGAGAAAAAGTTGACGGCGTCATTGTTAACAGTGAAATTTGGTAAGCCCGGAGTAATCATCGGCTTAGAGTCAACATCGGCTTCGAAGTCCTGAGATTAGCCGATGAGAGTTGTCAAGATGTCAGTTGTCGGATTCTTGCTATATTCGGTTAAGGGAATTGATTAAGGAAGCTTGTCCAGAAGAGACCAAGTTCAAATAGGATACGGCATGGCAAGTTATCTATTAATTAGGAATAGTTTGTTAGTTTCCTTTTATCTTTAGGAAAGTGTGTTTAGTGTCCTATAAGGACTTTATCTTTTCCTTTTATCTTTAGGAAAGTTTCTGTCTTGTCCGACAAGGACTTGTATCAACCCATGGGTATAAATATGTACACCCGGGGTCTATGTAATCTATCCTCACGATTAATACAATTCGGCGCATCGCCACCTTTTACCTTTTCTACTTTATTTTATCGTCCGGCGGGACTTGGCACCTGACGCAGGGCTGCATCAGTGTTCGATCTCCGGCGAAGGGATAAGTCCAATGTTCCGTCGGTTCAGGCAATTGTATCGTCTACGTCGGCGTCGTTCAAGGCTGCATCAGTACATTCAACCTCTTGGATTGCTCTGGTTTGAATGATATATTTGCCTACCCATTTATCATATGTCTCTGTTAATCTAGTCTTAGCATATCAATTTAGCTCTATCGGTTGCTTCTCGTTTTAGGGTTTCTACCGATATCGGCTAAATCGCGTTGCTAGATTAGATTAGCTTAGACATCTACCACCCTGAAAATCAGTCAACGGTTTGATTGTCTGGATATTGTGTTTCTTTTCATACTTAGTGCTGCATCAGTTAAGTTTGATCTACTAAGTCGTGCTTAGAACCGTAATCTCTAGCATGCTTTTTGACTGCCAATAAGGGTTTCATCGAGGTTTCAGCCGGTGAGTTATCTGGACGTTGTGTATGTTCCCCCGCCCTCTTCTAGACTTTATACATTTGTAAAAATATGTTCGGCTCATAAGGATTGCATATACATATAAGTTGGATTTAGCTGATGACAACAAAGGTTTCACTGTTTAATCTAATCTCGTGGATTTCATGACATCGGACCACCAGCCGATGTGTGCTTTAATCTTCGGATCAATGCTTATTCTATCATATCAATGCTAGCCGATTGGTTTATACTAGACTATATTATTGTTATATTTTATTATCAGTAGCCGATTGCCTATATATCATTATTTACTAAAGTGTTAGAATCTACATTGGATGTATAGCCGATTGCTTAAACTCTATCGTTATCGGCTGGTATCGGCATCGGCTATTATCGGCTATCGGCTGGAACTACTCCATCGGCTTGTCAGCCGATCAGCTGTTTTATCTGCTGTTTACATATTTTGTCAGTTGCAGGATCAAACTGACTGGCACGCCCGCATCTCATCAAGATTTGGACCTGCACAGGAGCTAAGCAGATCTCCCAGGCCGATGTGTTCGATTTTTTCGTCAACAGTCATCTATTAAAAAACGGAGGTAGTAACTACCTCGTGTTTATAACGTACAAGCGCTACTACTGTCCGTACATATTTGTACGATGCAAATGTTACTGTTGTTCTTTCCATACGTACAAACGTACATGATTGTGAAAACAAAACGATAAAGCTTTCCTAATCTTCACTTGAAGAAAAAAAAATACACATGTACATTAAAGACAGGAAAAACATACATTCATAAAAATCAATGGTCTTTAAAATATGATTTTCTACAATATAAAGATAAAATATATTACTTCATAAATATAAATATGTTTAGTTAAATTAACATGTATAATAAATATTCAATGAATTTTCTTCCAAATCTATATATTATATACTAAAAGTATATTAAACTTTGTACACACGCCTTTACACCGCTACGTGGCTCTTACATAAATTACAGAAATCTTAGAAATCTATTATATACTAAAAATCTGTTAAATGTCCTGTAAACGCTCCTACATTGTCACGTGACGCTCTAATAATGATAGAGAAATCCTAGAAATTTAGAGTAAAAAAAGAAAAGCATCCAACCTTTAATTTTCTATTAAATTAGTGGATCCGTTATTTTAAACATTGGATTAGAGCTCTTAGAATTCCCATGCTGCTAATATCTATCCAAAAAAAAACATAACTTGCTTACGTCGTACGATCGTCTCCCACCTGAAAAAAAAACTTAAATACCTACACCATATACGATCGAGAAAAAGATAAAGCCAAAAAATAAAAAAAAACATGCACACATATATAGGGGTGAAAACGGGTCGGGTTCGATCGAATGTCACCCTTCCCACATCCTAACCCATATTTTATAATTGGAATCGGGTCGGACACGGATAGTGCCGAATACGGATAGAAACTCGGATAATGTCGGGCAAAAATACGGAACTTATACATACCAAAATAGATATGTACACTATCGGTTACGGATATTTATTCCGATATCAAGTCGAAGCAACAATCTTATATATCATATAGGCAATCACTATTTAACAATTTCATATATCATATAATAAGATTATATTAGGTCATTAGGACCTTAGGAAATAAATAGGGTACAATACATCATAGTATAACCAATACATAGTACCAAAAAGTACCTCACAAAAACGTAATACGTGTAATATCCGTATAATTATCCGGGTAACACCCGGATTTTTTACCGGATAATCTGTATCCGTCGGATACTATATTCCCGAACCCGATCTCATATCCGCCAAAAAAGTCTCAGGTACTTGAATTTGTCCCGAAAGTAATGTGACCGGGCGGGTGAGTGGGACATACCCACGCCATTTTCACCCCTACACGTATATAATAGAATGGGAAAAAAATACTAATAAGGAAAAATCATCAGTGCCAGCACTGATTTGTGGTCAACAACCTTTAATCTATGATTTTATTAAAAATAATACTATATAGATATGCATAGTTAAACTTAATCGTAAACTTATTGTAGTGATAAATATATCATGACAAATGACGCCAACATGTAATAGCAAATGAGATCATAATGTTTCAAATAATTTCATATCAAATTTTATGGTGTCAAATATCACTTGACAAATATACACCGTTAATTTGAATCTACATATGTAAAAATCAAAATAACAAAACCTAGCATTGTTTTTTAAGTACATCGATCTATTCAGGTTTATTTAATTTTGGGAGAGAATGAGATTCTCAAAGTATTTGGAATTTTCAAAATTTTTCTTATTTGAGCTGTGAGAAGCACAATTAATAGATTTATGAGAAAATAAATTAAAGTTTATCCAGTGATAATAAAATAACAGAATTTAGATTTGGTTAATTTTTAAGTGGATCTTTTTAAGTTTATTTTGGGTGAGATTGAGATTCTAAAAGTATCTGAAATTTTTCAAAACTTTTTTATTGCTATTTGAGGAGTGAGATGCATACATGATAGATAGATATTTCTTATATGCCACTAAAAGTTCACCGGTTTCCTTATATGCCATCGTAAATTAGCTATTCCCGTATATGCCATCAAACGAAATTTTCGCTCACCTATATGCCATCCACGTCACCCAAGAGTAGAAATAGTGTTAGTTTTTTTGAAAAATGACAAAATTGCCCCTGGACTCCCTTTCCTGCTATGTAAAGAACAAATCAGGATGTGTTGCAGTTAAAACTATGACTATAACTTTAGCAATCATTATTGATTCAACACACAACCAATTTACCAAACAAATCAGGATGTGTTGCATTTAAAACTATGACTATAACTTTAGCAATCATTATTGATTCAACACACAACCAATTTACCAATGACTGGATGCAAAGTTTTATTTCTCTTCCATTTTTATAGTTTATTTATAGATTATAGAAAGAAATAGTTTGTATTCTTTTTTAAATGGCACTAAGAACAATAATTTAATTAGTCCTAATTTAATGTATCTAACTGGATGTAAGCATTCAGTTTAGAAAAAAAAATCTCTCGGCTTAGCAAACTGATTGTGTGCCTAATTTGTTCACAAAAATAGTTATGCTCAACTAAAAAGGTTAAGTGCTTAATTTAGTCTCACCATGGAAGTAAGTAACTTCATGATACCGACATCAGTTGAATAACATCAAAATATGCATCACCTTTTTTAATTCGTGGTAAGAAAACTAAGACAAAAGAAAGGAAAAGAAAGCTAAGGGTAATTTCTTACTTTCAATGCCACCTAAAATAGTCAGATGACGTGGATAACATATGAGGAATTGAAAAAAAAATCATTTAGTGGGATATACGGGAATAGCAAATTTTCAATGGAATATGAGGAAACTGGTGAACATTCAATGGCATATAAGGATTTTTTTAATAAATAAATAAGATTTTAGATAGTTATTTTGCTACAATACAACCCTTAATTCATCACGAGAATTACGTATTTGCCAAGTAGCATTGGCAAAACATGAATAATACAATAAAATAAGCATAAAACTACTTATGTTATATTTTTTATGGTTGATAAAAATTCTAATATACCGGGTATAATTGATGGACAAATGCTATACACCACTAAACCTAACTGTAAGTGCACTCTAGAGAATTAGTTGGTGTAAATAAGTTTGTGAAAATAAGTACATTCTTAGAATTAGTAAATGAGTCTCATATAGTTGAAAACAACATATGATGGAAACAAATCTACCGCTAAAGTATAAATCTTTATCGAAATATAATTAATGATAAGGTGTTTTGCAGATTTTCATGGTCTCTTTAGCTATAGTTTTTATTAAGTACTGTTGAATGATTAACCCCACTCATTTGAAAAACATAATATTGTATGTATTCTATTATAATTTAAGAAGTACTTATTACTAACTTCATATACACATTTTGCCTATTCTCTACCACAAATCGACTCAAAACTTAAAAAAAAACCATTTTTATCACCTCCTTTATGTCCCTCTTTATCCTTCAATGCAGGGTGCAGTACTTGCTATACCATTGTAAATATTGCATGGGCATGTACATGGTTGTGTTAAGGTGGTGTCCATGAAAGGCCACCATAGGCAATGTAACTAAAGTGACATAATTACCATATAATCATTTGTGATTGTACCGATATTGAACTAAGTGTTAAAATTGTACTCTAGGATGGTTTTTAGGGGTATGGCTACATCGACGCGGGACCCATATGTTTCAAGGCATTACATACGAAAGCGTTGGTTGGCAGATACAGTCGACTTCATCCATTAAAGAGGCATTCATGTTTATTTTAACGGTGTTATCGCATTATTCGGTAGATATATAAGGTATATTTAGACTATTTATACATAGATGTGAAAATAAGTTATGAACACCGGGTTATGTAGGTAGATGAATTTTTTTAGTATATTAATAATGTGTCATTTGTTTTAGTGATACTAATACAGTTTCATTTATTAAAAAGTGCACCTAACTCGATCTTAAAACAATAACAATGATAGTAAGTAGTGGTGACAAACGATCGGTTTATATATTACCAGGACAAAGGGACTTTTTTTTTTAAATGTAAGAGATATTCTTATCACATTAGTAGTATACTAAAATCTATCATCTATTTTACGGTAAATATATTTCTTTTTCTATTGTAGGATAATCTAAATTCTCTTACAGTATATACATATATAGTGATGTATAATTCCTTTTAGCATTTTTTAATAACAAATAAGATGCCCGTGCATCTGTACGAAATTCCTTTCCGATTTATGTTTTGGAAACACAAACTATAATACATGCCCGCGCATTCGCGGGGGCTACCTTCCTAGTTGGAGAAATGATACAATGATTTGGTTTGAAATATTATGAATATGATTTAGCATGTTTATGTTTAGTTTAAGAATGAAATAAATTATAGATATAATTACTATATGCTTGCATGTTGTGTTTTGTGTGTTTAATGGGTTGATGTGGCAGCTTGCATGTATGTTTTAGAAGTGTCAATAAATACTAAGTTTGCATGTTGAACTTTAGATGTTTAGTGGATATTAACTTTATAGAAAGAAGGGATAATATGAATAGATTAAATATTTTAAAAATAAGCCAAGCAAATAACTTATAAGCGGTCTAAATAATAGAGTGATTTTTTTAGTAAAACATATTTTAGATAAATAGAGAAAATAATCAATAATAATAGGCCCCGAAAAGAACAAGGCATATGACAAGTACATGACACAGCAAAGACACATATTAGAAAAGTACAAGTCATATGACAAATGCATGACACACGATTAATGCAAACACATAGAGTACAAAGGGAAAGGGTAAAAAGGTGCTATATTTATAACATATATTTTTCACCAAAACAATTATATTTTTTAACTCCATAAATTACCTACACTTACATTAACTATATTGTAAATTTAAAAACTTACATTACAAGTTTCAATTTTTACATTGTAATTTTCTAATACATAGAGTAAAAAGAATAGGATTAAAAATAATTTATTATGTACTTAAAAGAGTACATAGAAAATATAGACATATACTTATTATGTAGAAGAGAAAATCACATAGAAAAAAAGGACTCAAATTAAGTGAAAAATAAGTGAATCAAATTTTAGGGCTTGTCCACTTTGATGTCATTTTCAACCTTACCAAATTTTAGTAAAGTTGCCAAAAAAGTGGCTACATTTAGTTTGCTACCAAATTTTGGTAACTATATAGGAGATCCTGCCAAAATTTTGATAAGTTGTCAAAATTTGGTAAGGATTTTTTTACATCAAAGTGGACATGCCCATAGTTTTAGCAATCCCGAAGGGGAAAACAAACAAGATTTCATTGTGGGAATAGGTTCCATGTTTATTTACAACGGATTTTCGGCATGTCATCAGTTGATTTACCGGTTATGAGATTCTCCTTGGGATCCATGCTCAAAATGGATATTGAACTGAAATTCCAAACAATCCCACGTGGATGGGCTGTTATTCAGGCCCATCCAAACAATACCTTAATGGGCTCATTAGCAAACCCCAACAGGCCAACACTGCTACATCAACTCAGCCCAGATACGAAAACAAAGTCCAGAACAGAAGGCCCAACAAGGCTCTGCACTCTGAATCTTACACATCTCCTTTGGTCAGAGTCAAGCTCTGAATCTTAGCAGCCATGTCGTCCATGAATTTCTCATCACTGTCCTGTTGCAGGATCTTCCATCTTTCTGTTGCTTCCTGGACGGGTCAAAAGATATACATCTCCATCAGATTCAGCAGGCGCGGATCTCGTGGACTGCAAAGCATGGCGACACAATGTCGACATTGCTTGATAACCATGCACACATTCTTCAGACTTTCAGAGTTCCAGATTCAACAGAGTCTGCTATCTCGTTTCAAACCCACAAAGGTAGGCAGGTGCACCCTCGATCACAATCAGTACCCCCAGTTTTAGTCACACAACAACAAAAAAAGAAAAAAAAAACTACACACACCTCTACACATTAACAATATATAAGTTCAATTAGAATGCTACAAATACTACAAAATTGCGACGGCGAGTACATTCACTTCCATTTTTTCTTCTCGACCTATAATTTAATTTCCTCTACATTAGTCCCTGAGTGACGCTTGTCTAGGCCCATTTGGCGAGCATGGACATGAGGCCGGCGCCGGCGAGCATGGCGAGGTTGATGCCGAGCTGGAGCTTGCCTTTGCTCTGCACCCTGGGGTTCATGAAGTCCTCGGCGAGGAGGTCGACGAGGGCCATGTAGATGAGGATCCCCGCCGCGACGGAGTTGAGGATGCCCTCCACCACCAGCGCCGTCGGGCTGCTCTCGTTGTACACCGACGAGATGCCCACGCCGACGGCGATCCCCACCGGCGTCGTCAGGCAGAAGAAGAGGACCATCGTCACGATCGACCTCACCTTGAACTTCGCCTGCATACATTTTCAGGAGAATTAAATTAACTCATGCTGTGTTATTAAATACATTTTTCAGGAGTAGTATGCAAAAGGTTGATATTGCCGGAACTAGGCAACTTGTAAATTAAGCCATTCCATTTGTATACTTCTTCGGGCCGTTCTAAACAGAGGTTGGAAACCGCTGATTAGCCGCATTGTATATATAATTAAGTATTAATTATTAAAAATTTTAAAAAATAAATTTATTTGATTGCATAAGCACATTCTATATAAAAAGTTTTCGTACGAAACATATCGTTTGTAGTTTAAAAAATGTGATAACAGAAATCGAGAAGTAACTAATTAATTAACCGATCTCTGATTTGAAACAGGCCCTTAAGCCCTATTCATCAGGTTACATTTCAGCTTTTCTGTTCTTTGTCTTATACATATACCAGTCCGAAATACTATCAAATCATGTAAAGTTTCAATGCTTTAGATGATCACTACTTTGACTCAATCTCGAGCCAGTTAGTCACATAGCCTTCCTTGGTCAAATCATCAAAGTAATATAGCTCCCTTTTCCCTCTTTACATATATATTGTTTTTCAAGAATAAAGTGCCCTATCTTTTCCATAGAATCAAGCAAGTGGATTAGTAGCTTAGTCTTTTTTTTGCCTCTTTTGATGGAGACCATACAATACAAGACCAAATTTCCAGCTTCCAGTGCGCGAAACATAAAAGATTAGCACGAAAACACTAAATCATGCTACGACAAGTTTAGTGTAAATAAGTTTCATTCATCGGATTATCTACTTTATAGTACAAATAAATTAAATATTTTAAAATATAAAAAAATAAATACTTCTAAAAACAAGTGGTGTAAATAATATAGTACTAGAAGATTTTTTTTAGAAAAAACATATTTTGAAGACGCTGAGGAAATAATTTATGACAATAATCCGGTGAAACAGCTGAACTACATGAATGATTTGAGCCAACAAGGCTATATCTTTTAAGATGCCGTGCAAGATACCATTTTTACATATATGAATTTTGGGTAAAAAAAAAACACCATGTAGTAAAAGAAAAAGAGAGTAGAAATATACCTGCACGATGCAGCCACCGAGTCCCATGCCCTCGAACATTTGGTGGAAGCTGAGGGCGACCACCAGCGGCTTGATGGTTTCCGGATTCTGTGACGCGCCGAGGGAGATGCCAATGATCACCGAGTGCACCACGATCCCTAGCTCTAGAACCTAATTAAAATCAATCAATTGTATAAGTCAATAATGATACACAATATATATTATTCTGAATATTGCACTCGTTTGTTAAATTCTGCACGCATTTTTCTTTGCATTTTACATCACCGAAAATGATATATGTACGACACACATTGAATTTGAAACCTTTGGGCGCATGTGCCCTCGTTTTTCCGCGATTCGGCTCTTTCTTCTATCACTCCATAATACGCCGAAAATTTGATCTTTGGTATAAATGCTATTTTCGAGAACGCCAATTTATAATATATGGTGGGATCTCTTATAAAAAAAATATATGTGCAAAAGAAATGAATACACTTAAATTCCATTTTAATTCTGCAATATTTATTTGAAACGTACATACTACTCCCTCTATCCCTAAATATAAGGGATTTTGATTAGATGTGACTTATCCTAGTACAATGAACTTGGACATGATTTATATCTAGATTCGCTGTCTTAGAATGTATCACATTCAACCAAAATCTCTTATATTTAAGGACGGAGAGAGAGAGTAGTAATGAAAGTGTGGAAAATGACAGTAAAAAAAACAGAAGGTTACTGAGACTGCTGTTTCTTACCTATGGGTTAATTAAACCAGGCTGGCGTCATGAATGAATGCATGGTAATTAGCTAGGTGTTACGTTAATTAAAGGAGGTGGCCTCTCACCTGAGAGATGACACGATGCCGGAGAGTTGTCTCCTTGTCGTCCTCGCCGACGGCCGCGACGAGCGCCGACGAGCCGTGCGCGTGGCCGTGCGTCGCGTGGGTGTGCACGTGCACCTGTCCCTCGTGCTCCTCGCCGCCGCCGCCGCCATCGCCGACGACGTGGTGATTGTGGTGGTGGTTGTGCTGCTGCGTCGCGGCGGCGCTCTGCTTCTCCTCGTCCGCGACGGCGGCGGCGGTGGCGGCGTCCTTCTTGGACAGCGCACGCGTGAAGTAGCCGGTGGCGAGGGTGTCGACGACGAGCGTGCCGATGGCGCCGACCATGGCGCCGAAGCCGGCGAAGGGGAACTCCTTCCACGGCCCGCCGGCGGGGAGGCAGTCGTCGGTGAGGTTGTCGAACGCGTCGGGGAGGATGTGGATGAACCCCGTGGCGAGGATGACGCCCGCCGCGAACGCCTTGACGAGGAAGAACACGTCGCCGTCGGGGCGCAGCGCAGGGACGTGGCGCCCCAGCGAGGGGAGGCCGCACCCCAGCGCGCCGCACACCAGGATGGAGAAGAAGGCCGCGATCTTGAGCCCCCTCGCCCGCGCCCGGTCCCGCCCCGCCGCCGCATCCTCCTTCCCGCACCCGCCGTCGCCGCCGTCGCCGCGCGCCGCCGTGGCGAGCAGCAGCGCCACGGCCGCGGCGAGGAGCACGGTGGCGGTGGTGTTCGTCCTCATGGCCGCTCTTCTGCTCCTGCTGCTATCGCGGATTCGCGGGTTTTATAGATTCGGATGGTGAAGGTGAAGGGAGTAATTAGGGTTTTAATCACCTTGGATTAGTCGCTCGGTTTAAATGGGGGGATTAAAAGGTGAATGGTAGTAGTAACACAGAGTGACGACACTTGACAGTAACTCGGGGTGAAATTTTTGGTTGAGGGAGATATTTTAGTTTTTGTTTTGGCAAGTAATTACGGCGTAGAATTACTAATTACGCAAGGATGACGACACTATTTGTCACGAAGTGTTGACATGCTGAGTAGGAGAGAGAAGTGTAGCATTCGAGGGTACGCGTGTGAGAATTTCAGGCCATGAAACGCGTAACGACCGGAAGTGTAGCATTCCACCGCCGTCGCCGTCTTCTCCCATTCCACATGGATGAAGGTACTCGATCTATTCAATGACAAATGGGTTCGAGGAGTCTTATGTATCGTTAAGTACTCCCCTCCATTTTTATTTTTTTTTTTACGCTTCCCACAGGCCCGATTAAACTAAGGAAGCTGTGAATTAACTTGTTTGCCCTTCACTCTTGCCCCTTTGCACTAATGCGTTTCGTCCATACAGGGGTGAAAAGGGCAAGGGTGGAAATTCTCGTATGGGAGGAGGGCGTCTGAACTGCAAGCGTCAAAAAAAAAAAAACGCCTTCAGAGCATCTCCAGCAGGAACCTTAAATCCAGCCCCTATTCAATTTTTGAGAGTTAAGATAAAAAAACTAGATCCAGCAGGGACCCTATTACAGCCCCAAAATAAGAAGGCCCTCAAATCCTCCCCTAAGGCCTCAGTCCTAGGGGCTCCGAGCACGGCCCCATCATTCTTTTTTTTTGGCGTGGATAACAATTTTGCTTCGCGCTTTTTCGTGTTATTCCTGCGCGGCTGCGACGAGGGATCTTCTCCGGCGACCACCGGCGAACTCCCAGCATCTCCGCCAAGCCTGCCCCAAAAGGTAAGACTTTTCCACACATTTGTTCGCCCGTCGTCCACAAGGCCGGCGGCGGTGGTCCATGCGTACGCCTGGTCACCGACCTCCCCCCATCCGCCTGGCCATACGCCGGCCGTCGCGTGCCCTCTGAGACTGCCCGCACGCACATCACCCACTTGCATGGTGTTTGCCCCCACGCTGGCCTCTGCCCGATCATATTTTCAGATTTCACTGGCCGGAGCCTGTACACCGCCGCTGCCCCATTGATTTTTCTGGAAAAAACTTGAAGTTGGTCATGTGGTGTGGTGGTTGAGTAGTAGAGGAGATCTCAGTAGTAGAGTACCAGTCAATTTTTCTGAATAAACTCGTTCTTGACTACCTGTGGACGTGGTGACAGATGGTTATGGTGGTGAATGATTTGTTTTTAATATTTTTTTGAAGAATTGTAGTGGACTGTCGGCCAGGACAATCTAAATTCTCAACTAGTATATATCACTGTACTTATAGTAGCACTGCATTGTGTAGCACTGTACAATTGTTGCAATGGATCGATTATAACCATATATATATGCACTGCTTTTCATAGATTGAATGTTGCGTACTGTATATGTGTAGTTGGATACGTGTGTGTATATGCTCTAAATTTTCTTATTAATTTTATGATCTTGTGATGGCAGTGTTTTTTACATGGACTTCTACGACGGTGACGACGACGACGACGACGATCTTATTACCGAATGGTGGGATCAAGAGGAGTTGTTTGACGATGATGACTACTACATTGCAGCTGCTCTTCTTACGGACATAGAGCATAAGAGGACCAAAAGAAAGCGTCGTGGTTCAGTCCCAGGTCGTGAGATAATTTATAGGGATAGGTTTGCTGGCAATTTGCGCATAGTGGCTGATTATTTTGCAGATCCTCCTGTATATAATGCAAAATTATTTAGGAGAAGGTTCAGAATGTCAAGGGAGCTCTTCTTGCGCATCGTGGCTAGTGTGGAGGCTCATGATGACTACTTCAGGTGGAGACCGAATGCAGTGGGTCTTCTCGGTGCTACTGCATTGCAGAAGGTGTATGGTGCAATTCGCATGCTTGCATATGATATTCCAACCGATAGTCTTGATGAAGTTGTGAGGATTTCAGAGAGCACCATGATAGAAGCTTTCAAGCACTTTGTCAAGGCTGTGGTAGATGTGCTTGCTGATCAATACTTGAGGGCACCAACTGCTGAGGACACTGCAAGGTTGATGGCTATAAACACTCCAAGGGGGTTCCCAGGGATGTTAGGTTGTATTGGCTGTATGCATTGGAGGTGGAAGAATTGCCCAACAGGCTAGAAAGGACAATACTCAGGGCATGTGGATGGGCCAACCATGATTCTTGAAGCTGTTGCATCGAAAGATTTATGGATTTGGCATTCCTTCTTTGGACTACCAGGTTCTCTTAATGATATCAATGTACTACAGAGATCACCACTCTTTCAAAGGCTTACATCAAGGACAGCTCCTGAGCTGGAGTTTATAGTGAATGGAAAGAAATACACTATGGGTTACTATCTTGCTGATGGCATATACCCTTCTTGGGCCACTTTTGTGAAGACCATTTCCAATCCACAAGGTAACAAGAGAATACATTATGCAAAAGTTCAAGAAGGAGTGAGAAAGGATGTTGAAAGAGCATTTGGTGTTCTACAAGCCCGCTTTGCAATGGTGAGGGGTCCTGCTAGATTTTGGGATACAGAGACCCTATGGTACATAATGACAGCTTGTGTAATCATGCACAACATGATCATTGACAATGAGCGAGATGAAGATGTAGACTATGACTATGATCGGGAGGACAGTGAGGTGTTGAGAAAGGAGGAATACCAATGGCGTAATAAACCTGTGTTAGAGAAGTTTCTAAAGATACATAAAGAAATTGAAGACCGACAGGTACATGAGCAACTTCGAGATGATGTTGTGGAACAGTTGTGGGCGCTTCATGGTGCTCGATAGTTTGTTTCATTGCATTTTCTATCATGTATGGGTTATGTTCAATATTTGCTCGTAGGATATATCATTTTCATGTTTGAAAATTTTGAATTCAAATTTGAATCGTGGTATTTGAAATTGCAAATTTGAATATGGTTGAATTCCACGCGCTAGAGTTATCTATGTTTGAATTATTGTGTGTTAAACTAAATATAAATATAAATTCTATACTAAAATAAAAGAGAAAAAGGAATAGGGGCTAAGATATGGAGGCTACTGCTAGACATAAAGGCATATTTAGGGTCCTAAAGCATTGGGGACAGCCCCCATTTAAACTTTAGGGACTCTAAAGTAGGGCCTACTACTGGAGATGCTCTTAGGTATGAATTGGAACGTCAAACAAAAAAATGGAAGGGAGTAATAGTATTATATACTACCTCTGTCCCTAAATATTTCACACCGTTGACTTTTCTAAACATGTTTAACCGTTCGTCTTATTCAAAAATTTTTGTGAAATATGTAAAACTATATGTATACATAAAAGTATATTTAACAATAAATCAAATGATATGAAAAGAATTAATAATTACTTAAATTTTTTCAATAAGACGAACGGTCAAACATGTTTTAAAAGAGTTAACCGCGTTAAATATTTTGGGACGGAGGAAGTGTGTAGTAGTGCAGATGATTTTAATTTTTCACATGCCTCTTTTCTTCTTCTTCGGCCACCATCCGGAGAGCGCCACGCGTCAGACGTACGGCGCGAGACGAATAATCGGACGCCTCGCACGACCGTCCGATCCATCATAAATGAATCAAGCAAACTTTAAACTATTTTTTTCTCTTAAAATATTTATCAAAATCATGATCCAATTACACTATTAAATCCATTACAATTAAATCTTTAAAACAAGACCACACATGAATATAACCAGATGAAAAAAAATTAGCTTATTATTGAATTATTTTTAAATGTTGCACGCTGTTGCACCAAGTATATCAGAATTGTTTCACTAAGTAGATCAAAAATGTTTCATCGAACGCCTTATTTGAAAATTATGTTTCAGCGAATAGCGAAATGATGTTTCAATTCACTGCAACATTTGATCCATATATAGTAAAACATCACGAGTACACTAGATGAAACATTTTAAATGAAAATAACTCATTTGAAATTGAAAAAAAAAATCAGACGGTCAAATATTGCAGTTGACCAACAAGTGAAACTTTAAGTTATATATGGTGAAAAAAAATCAGCAACTGAAGCATTTAAATATTTTATGAAATATGGTGAAGATACACGTTGAAACATGTCGCTATCACATATAAAACAATAAGTATTAATGGACTGAAACATATGTTTTTCTTTTATGAAAATATAATTAAGCGATATCTTATTGTAAAGATTTAATTACAACGAATATAACGGTGCGATCGGATCATAGATTGAATAAGTAATTTAAGATAAAATTTTGAAGCTTGCTAAAATACATGCATCTATGCATGCATGAGGTGGAGAGAGAGAGTAGTAGCAGGTAGTTTCAGGGATTTTGTGAAACACACTGAAGACACATATTAAAACATATCACTATCACGTATGAAACATTTTGTTTTAACAGTTTGAAACACATGTTTTTCTTTTGACATAATATAATCATGTGATATTTTGTTGTAAAGATTTAATTGCAACGAATACAAACGATGTGATAGGTTCGTAGATCGGATAAGTAATTTAGGAGAAAAAAATTTAAAGAGAGGAGGAAAGAATGAAAAGAAACAGATAGACATGCATGTTACGGTAACATGGTTCGTCCAATCCACCAGGCTGCTGATTTGTAGTATTTTCCTGACGTCGACAGAGAGAGAAGAAATTAGTAAATAAGAAGTGAGCTGGTCGTAGGTGTCCGATGATTTTTATCTGATCGGACGTTCCAAGAGAAGTATTTTCGCCACCATCCTCTTCTCCTCGATTCGGCTATCTCAACCTTTGTCTTCGAGTAGAAGAATGACTATAGGAGGGTAGCAAACAAGTGCTTTGTCTTCGTATAGCCCAAACAGATCCAAGCTTGTCGATCATCTCGAGTAATTCTTCTTCTCTTGCCTTCGAATTGCTCCGAGCATTAATGCCGACAATGAGTAGATTAGGACAGCACGGTCCGATTCTTAAAACATCCGTAGCTGCCAAAAACTTTTTTAACTAGACCCGTCTATGTGTCATTATATTGTTTTTTTATGTCTCTTCCTTAAACTGAAGAGATAAATCCCTAAAGTCACGAAATTTCTTAAAGAAACATCCTTGTAAATGCATACAGTTCCAAAATTTCATGCCATGGGTCATCACAACCGCAAACATCTCTCCTATTAGGGATTATTGAGGACTCCCAAAGATCGGGTTTCAAACCTTCACAGAATTTCGAAATGAACAACGGTTATGTTATTGCAGAAACGTATAGCTTTTTTTTTTTCTTGAGGAAAAAACGTATGGATATTCAAACAATTGAACGCAAGATGAAAGCCAGATGGGGAATCTCGTCACCAGCGCTGTGTACGAGCTATATATATGGAGATTTTTCTGCACGTTAACCTCAATCTCCTCGAATCTTTTCCACGGCTGAATGACTTTTTTACTCTTGCTGATCTTCTTCATTGTTTGTTTCCTCGGTTTCACCTTTTGCAAGAGCCTATGTGCTTTCGGGTGGTGCGTTATCCTGTTGGTTACTGCGAGTGTGACCCACTTTGCTTTATTTTCCCAATTACAGTGAAGATGCACACATATCTTAAATTAAACGATACTCTCTTCGTTTCATATTATAAGTTGTTTGACTTTTTTCTTAGTCAAATTTCTTTAGATTTGATCAAGTTTATAAAAAAAAATTAGCAACATGTATAATATCAAATTAGTTTCATTAAATTTAACATTGAATATATATAAATAATATGTTTGTATCGCATTGAAAATGTTAGTATATTTTTTCTACAAACTTGATTAAATTTAAAGAAGTTTGATTAAGAAAAAAATCAAATGACTTATGATATGAAATGGATAGAGCATAAGTGAGAGGCAAACTTTGATCTCGTTGAAAATTCTATGGATATCGCGCCTATGTGTATACTTGACACTACTAGTAATCTCTTCGATCCGTTGTCAAATACGTTACAATCTGAGCTCAAAATTAATGTTAACTATTGTTATAAAATTATTAGGATTTAATATATGAAAATGACATTATTAGACTTGTGAAAAAAATTGATGCAATTATTATATTTTGATGTTTTTAGTAATGTATAATTAGAAAAGTGATTATTAAACCCATGTTTTAGATTCCTTTCGATGTTGTAAACGGCATCTAAAATGGCGTGGCTAATGGGTGATCGCTCGCTTGCGATCGATCCCCATCCCCCCTATACACTCCCCTTCCCCCTTCCTCCTTCCTCCTTCCTCCTCCCCTTCTTCTCTTCCTACTACACTATAAATTTTTAAAAAATAAAAAAAAATAAAGTTAAAAAAAATTATGTATAGAAATAATATATATAAAAAATATTTGATTCAAATTCAAATTTGAAATGGGTATGTAAACTTTTGACTTATAAACTTTGGGTCTATAAACTTTAGGTGTATAAACTTCAGATGTATAGAAATACTATATATAAAAAATATTTAAATTCAAATTCAATTTGAATCGGATATAAAAACTTTTGATTTATAAACTTTGGGTCTCTAAACTTTAGATGTGTAAACTTGAGGTGTACAAACTTTTGGTGCATAAATTTACTAAAATAGGAAAGTAATATAGTGCCAAAAAAGGAAACCACGTGAAGGAGAGAGGGGCGACCCGATCGCTAGGGGTGATCGATCGCCCATTAGGAGTTTCGCATCTAAAAGGAACATAAATAATGTGGTATGTTTGTGAAAACAACCCTGTTGACTTTATTAATCTCTAGTATGATATATTTGTGAAACCAAGCAAAAATATAGTCCTAGGAAATTATTCTATTTTACGAAACTATTCCACCGGTACCATTCAAATATCAATTAGTCACGGAGATGAAGTCATGGAGACATTAAAGCTCATAATGCTGGCCTGATTCAACGCCCAAAAAAAGTCACACATCGTTTAATAGAAACATATTTCAGTTGGTTCACCGTACCGGATTATTATCATGGATTATTTGCTCCACCTTTCTAAATATACTTTTTTTTTAAAAAAAAGTCTTCTACTATATTGTTTGGATTAGACTACTTGTACAATATTTATTAAGTTTATGTTTCAAACTATTTAATTCACGTACATATTCAGCTAGCTAGATAATCCACGACAATAATCCTATCAATAATTTGTTTCGAACATTACCTTAGAAAAGATTCTTTTATTTTGGATGGTGAGGCCAGGATACACATAAGTCGAATGGAACCGTAGAAAATATGACCAAAGCGTGCTGTTTCAGAAAAAAAAAAACAAAGAAAAGAAAATATGGCCAAAGCGAAGGACAACCAGGACCACACTACAACAATTCACACCATGCTACTCTCTTAGTACAAAATACACGCATCTTTTCTTGTTAGTAGAGATTAAATTTAAATGAGAAGTAATTGATGAGACAGTGATAAGCTAGGAAGAAATTTAAATGAGAAGTAATCGATGAGATAAATAGTAGTAGTACTTAGAGCAAGTTTAATAGTATAGCTAATTACTAGCTTCAATTCATCTATAGTCAATCTAATAGATCATTCATACAATAGTTACATACTACACTATTAATACCTGGTCCCACATGTCATACACACACTGCGTCTTGAAGTCCGTGCTACAGCTGGCTATAAATCTGTAGCCCCCCTGCTCTTCTCTTTCCTCATTTGTCTCCTTAAAATATGTTTGGAACTGGCTTATAGCCTGCTATTATACTTGCTCTTAAGAACAACACTATAAACATATTTTAATATAACTTTCAAATGCTACAAATGCTTATTTTTTAGATAATAGGTAAATCCTATCTTTACTTTAGCAGGAGCTAAAAGTGCTTCT